AGTACTTTATTATTTATTTCTGAAATACTTAAGAAGTTAGTTATTCACACCAGAGAAATAGTAGTTTCAAGGTCTTCTAATAAGCGAGGTAATCGTTCACATTTTTTTCTCAAGCATGAACGTTAAAATTATTAGGTAATTAAATTAACTTCACGTTTTATTTGTATGTTGTATCCTACTCATTACTTTTATTACCAACTAGCTGACCCGGCAAACTTCGTATTGCCTCAATCGATAAATAAAAGTCCTAAACTTTTGTATAAAATAAACTTAATACAAACAAAAGGAATCCGGGGGGACACATCAAAAGGAAACAAAACTGTTATTTTTATTTAATTCTGAGCATTTTCATATTTATCTACCTTTTAAACCTTCTCTGGACTTCCACAAATAATTCAAGATCAAAATTAGCCAAATCGGTCCAGCCATTCTCGAGTTTTAGCGAGACTAACGAACAGCAATTCATTTTTATATACTTAGTCTGGCCATAAATACTGTTACAATAAAAAATAAAAAAAATTCTATTGCAAATTACATTTCTTAATTTTAAAGTGTGTTAGTTTAATACATAAATATAAAACAATTTAAAGTATAAAAAGCTTATTCGAAGTGGTCTCCATTGGCTGCAATACAGTCCTCTAAACGTTGAGGCCAGTTATCAATAGAAGCACGCACTCTAAACAAAATATTACATTTGAATTTGGAATCTGTCATTTTTATATGATTGCTCATTGAGTTTTCTCATTTTGGCGCCAATACATTGTACAATATTTTGCGATATTAAAATGGAGTGGGTGATAAAGAGAACCGAATCGCTGTGATTACATTACACAAAGTAGGTATGGAGCCAAATGCAGTTTTTAAAACTCTCCATACGCTTGGTATTAGTAAAATGTTTGTATACCGGGCTATCAATAGGTGCAATAAGACCTCCTCTGTTTGTGACAGAAAAAGATCTGGCCGTCCACGTAGTGTTCGTACGAAAAAGGTGGTCAAAGCAGTAAGGGAAAGAATTCGAAGAAATCCTGTCCGAAAGCAAAAGATTTTATCTCGGGAGATGAAGATAGCACCTAGAACCATGTCGCGTATTTTAAAAGATGACTTAGCCCATAAGAGACGTACTGGCCATTTCTTAACTGATAATTTAAAAGAGAATAGGGTGATAAAATCGAAACAACTACTGAAGCGGTACGCAAAGGGAGGTCATAAAAAAATTTTGTTTACGGATGAGAAAATTTTTACAATGGAGCAACATTTTAACAAACAAAATGACCGTATTTGTGCTCAAAGCTCTAAGGAAGCTTCCCAATTAGTCGACAGAGTGCAACGTGCGCACTATCCGACTTCAGTGATGGTTTGGTGGGGTATTAACTATGAAGGGAGTGACTGAGCCATACTTTTGTGAAAAAGGTATCAAAACATTGGCACAAGTGTATCAAGGTACTATTCTTGAGAAGGTAGTAAAGCCCCTTAACAACACCATGTTCAATGAACAAGAATGGTCCTTCCAGCAAGACTCGGCGGCAGGTCATAAAGCTCGGGCTACGCAGTCTTGGTTGGAAACGAACCTTTCGGACTTCATCAGAGCTGAAGACTGGCCGTCGTCTAGTCCCGATCTTAATCCGCTGGATTATGATTTTTGGTCAGTTTTAGAGAGTACGGCTTGCTCTAAACCCCATGATAATTTGGAGTCCCTAAAACAATCCGTACGATTGGCAGTGAAAAACTTTCCCATGGAAAGAGTGCGCGCTTCTATTGATAGCTGGCCTCAACGTTTAAAGGACTGTATTGCAGCCAATGGAGACCACTTCGAATAAGCTTTTTATACTTTAAATTGTTTTATATTTATGTATTAAGCTAACACACTGTAAAAGTAATAAATGTTATGTCTCAGTATTTATGGCAAGACTAGGTATATAGATTACCATCAACGTCAAACATGTGTTGTCAACAAACCTATAAGCCTTATTTATACCTTTTAATTCTACACAAATATCAAAATATGGATGTATGTTTTCATGTGTGTGTGTGTGAGCTTCTTTGTTATTCATAACTTTTAACATCTGAACGGATTTGGATATATAGGGTATCATTAGAAACCTTACATTATCCGGAGTGACATATCTTTCGGCACTTAAAAAAAACCAACAATTATGTAATTCAATGATTTTATACGGTTGTAAACTATACTATAGGGTTTCAAATGTTTATTTACAAAACTAGTTTCAGTTACAGCCCTAGACTAGATTAAAGCACATCAAGCTAGCAATATAGATAATATTATAGGGAGATACTTAAAGGCTTCGTCACATGGTGAGAGAGGCCGACTTGCGGCCGACACGGGCCTCGCATGAATATTCACGGGGTTTTAGTTTCACAGAATTAGATTTGAGCCTGATCATTCGAAAGATCAAAGAAATGGATAGCCAAGAAACAACAAATTGCAATTCGAATTTTTTTTTGTATCAAATCATGACCTTGAGCTTAACATTATTTTATAAGCTAACTAAGTAGTCGGCGCATCTGGTGCAAAGCATTTGCCCGTAATGGCTGCCATCGAAAATTAGATACAAGGCTCAATTGTTGGTTGCCAAAATTGGAATATGGGATTACTCCGTCGCAAAAAGTAGTGCCTACTAGCATTTGCATGAAATTTTATCTACTGGTAGGTCCTTACCTTACTAGGTCCAGTGAGATAGGATTTAGGAGATTAAGACTTAGCTACGTAGGAGCCTTGCTACTTGTGTTTTAGGTAACGCAAACATGCATACAAGATAAGAACATGATACCGAGATTCTGAATACCAAATATGTTTAGGATTTGCTACGATTTTGCGAGTCGTAGACATAATTAAAACTTTCTTTTTTTATTATTGGAAGATTACTGGTGGCCCGAAGGCCTTTCCAGTTTCACCAGGACACTTGGGCGAGCAAAGGCTCAGCCAGGAGGGGTGGGATTAGCTAACAACTGCCCGAGCGCCTCCGAAGGAGACCTAACAACTCAAGAGCAATTGCTTCGCGGATGAATCTACTACCGGATCGGAATCGCGACCCGCTGAGAATATCCCGCGAGAAACTCAGCGGGCTGATGCATGGGTTAGGTTGCACGTCGACCTCTTTGTCGAGTTCGACGAGTACGGTTACCGGGGTCCCTAAGCCTGCTTACTTTTATGAAACATGAAAAATTTTATTCAACAAAAAAAGGTGGGAGTTAAAACATTCGGAACAACCGGATCGAGACACATGTGTATTCTACAAAGTGTAATTTATTTTATAGTGGTGGATTCTGCGAAACACAGCTCTTGCTAGGGCTAGTATTAGCAAATTCTCTCAGGTTGAGCCCGTGAGCTCACCTACCCGTTCGCGTGAAGCTGGGTAGTCCCTTAAGCTAGCAGCGAATAGGTAAGGAAAAAAAAAACGGTAAAATTAAGTATTTTTAATATTTAGTATAACCTTTTTTTTTTTTGTTTTTTCAATAAATATAGTTGTATCTGTGGCTAAAAAAACATGAAAACCGATTTCGGTCACACATTTTTGGTCAAATAGAAGTACGTAATGACAGATAGAATCGGAAACTGTGTTGCAAATTGAAATGGGCAGTAGGGAAGCTATATTTCACTCAATGTTTGAGGGAATATCAGTGGACAAAACAACCTGCTGTGAGCTCGATCGACGATGAACGATATACGATCAAAGCAAACACTATCTTACCTTATGGGCGACAAGTTTCAGCCATTGTCGTGACATGGCCATTGTGAAGGCATTCAATTGAAAAAGACGATTTTAATACATTGGGTATATAGAGATACTGTTCTTTTCATGTTTTGAAATTTGGAAAAGGTACTGTTGATATTGAGGGCGATTTAATACATTGAAACGCTTTTGAAATATAATATTTTTATCTCTGAAGATTCAGAGGAAAATAAGACATATTTGAATGAACAGAAATAGTCCTCATATGCACAAGACTAGATAAAAATATTTAGAACACTAGAGCTAAAAGTACAAACCTATATGTTTAACTATTCAAAAGAAATGAGTTTTCAAGGTGTAGGTATAGATTTAGATTTATATAGTTGAAATTAATTCAATATTATTTCACGTTGGCAATGTCGAATAACTTAAATATAACAGTATTCTATGAGCAGATAGCGAGTAGGTTCGACATTTAATGCATCAAATGTAGTATGCACTTTCCAAAGCTATTAGTATCCATTAGCTCTGAGATATGTATAATAATAATAACAATAACTGAGAATAAATCACGCATGCTCATCCGACTCCAACTTAGGATTGAAAACTTGTTCATCACATAATGTTTGTCCGGTGTGGGAATCGAACCCACGACCCTCAGCGCAACAGTCAGGGCCGCTAACTACTGCACCACCGAGTCAGTCAATCAAAGTTTATTAGGCACATTATGAAACATTAATCTATAACTTCTAAAAGGCGTTTAATAATAATTCTAGTTGTATATTAATACTCGCGAGTGCAATTTACTACTAGATTAGCGTTTATATTTAACTGATAAATTATTAACAATATGTAAATAGCCAAAAGCCAAAAAAGTGTATAAAGGCTATCTCGCCCTTCAAACCTGTACACATACCTAATTGCTTGGGGGTAGAAACAGGCAGAATGTTAGTTACTGGTGCGGGCTCACGCCCTATCATTACCTTCTCCATATTTTTGAAAAAAGTTTAGCGGTGATTTTTTTATTATTCCATTAAACAATTTTATTCTTTTTGGAGCACCCGGCATACATCGTTTACATATAAACTGTGCGTCTAATCTTCTTGACCATAGCAACTTCATTCCAAGAGCACGAGATTTATGTACTAATAAAAATAGACCAGATAGCCCTAGGATCCGTACCCTGGGAAAGTCACATCGCTTAACTCGAATACATTCGGTGGATCTGTCACGAACGCTGTACCACATATCATTAAACAAAATCTAGATTAATTTCAATTATAAAAATAAATTTCGTATTTTAATTACCATCTTTATTCATGTTGGCTTGGAAGCATTTCGCGAGACGGCACGCTCGGCACTGATTCCTGTGTGTTTTATCCACTGGACATCTTCCCTTCATCTCGCCTCCCGCTTTACACGTGTACACACGATTTCTGTGGATAGACCGCTTGAAGAAACCGGAGCAACCTAAAAATGTTTATTTTAATTTTATAAATATTATAAATCTAAGACATGTCCATCTAAAAATTAACTAGATGGCTTTAATGATTTTTTGGATTCACGCACTATACAAAAATCCTCATAACTCTTGTTCTATTTTTAACAAACTACCTAGGAAAGAAGATAAGAAATTATAAAATTTTTACTGGTGGGAGCATCGATATATCGATGGGTGGGAGCATCGATCGATGGGTGGGAGAATTAGTCTTGTGATCCAGTACGAGTATGTACCACCATCCTGCCTATTTCTACCGCGAAGTAGTAATACGATTTGCCGTTGGTTGTACTATAAAACTGAGACTTAAAACTCGTGTCACAAAGAAGATGGGGGCATTGACGTTGTTGATTTCTATGAGCTCCAGTAACCACTTAAAACCAGGTGGGTCTACTAATCTAAGCATAAAAAAATACTATAAATAATAATAGCCAATATCACAACATTCAGAATACATACAACAGGTATTCAAAAAGGCAAAAACGATAGCACAACTTGGTTTCCAGTTCGATAGTACGACCACAAATTATATTTTAATCTATTAATAATGGATGGCGTTAGTTGCTAAGATTTTATATTTATAATCTTTTGACCTTTTACATTCAAGAGAACGAAGTGTAGGGCGATTGATTATCCCTAATCCCTAAAATCTAATTTATGGATTTTTTTCACCGCCTGTGGATACAAGCGTTGTCTCGAATTTGAATAAGATATGATTGAATTGAATAATATATGAATATGATATGATTGAATATTTGAATAAGATCAAATATAGCAATAAACAAAAAAAAACACAAAATGTGTTATAATAGTTTGTATAAAGAAGGTTAAGCCCTAGTTCTTGAACTGCGACTTAAAAAGGTTCCCTTCTTATACTTTTTATCTTATAGTAAGTAATTGCCTTCTAATATTTTTAAAAGGCGATTAAGTATTCACTTACCGTCACAACTGTATATTCCATAATGTTTCCCTGAACTTCTGTCTCCACACACGTTGCACGGTATATCTAGAAGTCTGTCTCCTGTTAAATTAAAACGTTTTGGTCAGTAATTATTTATGTACATCAATAACGTAAGTAAAGTACATGTATCTTTAATTACTAAATTAATTACGCCTACCCATCAGTAGGTACGCATCGACGCCAGCATGCATTGTAATGAACTGTCTCATAAAATTGCTAGAATTGGTTATTAGAGATTTTTATTATGTGACAATAATATTAAATCTAATTGATAAAATCTATCAAGTCAGCGCACCATTATTGCTTCACCGAAGAATATTAATTTAAAATTATCATAGTACTATTACAAATGTGAGAGGTTTTCGAGAGAAATTTCTCACGAGCAATAGGGTACTTTTTATCATGCTAAACGACGTGATTATTGATTATAAGACCGCGGGGCAGATCACCGTTTTTTTTCCTTCCTACCTATGCTGATAGCCTTGAGAAGCTATTTCAGCTTCATCCTAACGAGTGTTGCTAACACTGACCCTAGCAAGAGCAGTGCTTCGCAGAATCTACCACCGGATCGGAAACGCGACCCACTGAGATGATCCGGCGAGAAACTCAGTGGGCTGTCTATGGGTTAATTCGCTCGTCGAGCCCTTCGTCGCAAGCGACGGGTTCGACGAGGAGGTGACCAGTGCTTCTAGTGCCTAAAAGCACCGTTAATGGATCGGGGGATCACCGTTACGATGGACCGACCAAATAAAGACACCTCTAAACGGTCTCGTCAACGAGTGCACAAGAAAGGTCGCGGTACGCGAGGAATTGTGAAGTGCGCTTGTGAAGCGCATGATGACCACCACCCGAAATGATGACCACAAATACTAAGAAGGCAAACGACTAAGAAGAAACGACATGACTAGGGCAACGTCTGTTGTAATGAATAGTAATTCCGCTGTTCGTTATTGTATGGACTAGAAGGTTTACCTATAAGCCGATTGTTATTTTATGATTCAGAGAATGACAAAAGCAACTTTAAACAGGAAAACATTTACTGATGGTAGGACCTCTTGGGTGTCCGCGCGGGAAGGTACCAACACCCTGCCTATTTTTGCTGTGAAGCAGTAATGCGTTTCGGTTTGAAGGGTGGGGCAGCCGTTGTAGCTATACTGAAACTTTAGAACTTACATCTCAAGGTGGGTGGCGCATTTACGTTGTAGATGTCTAGGGGCTTCAATAACCACTTAACGCCAGGTGGGCTGTGAGCTCGTCGACTCATCTAACCAATAAAAAAAGGGAAAATTAAACATTAAATTATTTCTAAATTACAGATTTATGTAAGCCTTTTCTTCATATTTTTTTATCAAGCTGACAGATATGCATACAAAACATAGATACGATACTTTGTTTAACAAGTAACAAAAAAGATATATACTCGTACAATGAAATTGACCCAAACTTTTTTGTACTTTCATATAAAAAATATCGTTTTTACTTTATTTGATTTATTATTTACACTTGTTTGTATTTGACGTAGGTAAATTGAAAATATGCTTATTCTAACGATATTTTTCTCTATTTTTGTAATAATTGACACTTTTAAGCACCGTAGAACGACCCTTTCCCTAAATAGATTAGTCAGATTACACCAATCTCGCTAATAACGTTGTGTTTTTGTTCCGTTTACTGAAGGCTTCCCCTTCGCCCCCTTTCTGTAGCGCTTGCAAGAAGCCTTCTCTTACACCGTATACCGTGATAAGAAATACTAAATACATACAAATTATTATTGACTATTTTTTTTATTCTATCACTTTAAAAATTTAAGTTAGGAACCCGTCCACGATAAGTATGTATATATTAACATGATTAAAGTTCCGCTGCAAGTTAAGGTACAAGGCTACGCAACGCTCCAAAGCCCAGTGGGTTTCTCGTCGAATCTTCGATCGCGATTCCGATTCAGTTACAGATTTAGTAAAGTACTGCTCTTGCTAGGGCAGATGTTAGGAAATTCTCTCAGATTGAGCCCCGTGAGTTCGCTCACCGCTCAAGGTAAAGCCGGAACAGGCTCTCATGGTTACTTTAATGCTGTAATCTCAAGGTATGAATGTCCTGTATATACACTATCCTTACATTTAAAATTAGATCTCAGGAAATATTGTTGCCGCGGCATAGTCTGCAGGCTGTTAATAACTCATTCCCATTACGAAAATAGCTAATTAGTAATAGCTTTGGAACGATATTTAACTCAATTGTTTGTTTTGTGTTTTGTTGTGTGTCAGTAAACTTTAATAGTCGATGCTTATTCAACTGGATACCTCTGCCCCTTCTTGAGAAAATCGATATCAAGTGTCGAAAAGTCTTATAACAAAATTAATCTATAAGGTTTTTTTTAAATAACAAATTTGTTTCAATGGAAATTAGTTTGTAGTCAATATCTGTTAATAACTTTAAAATGATAAATAACATCGCGCCATACCACATGAAAAATCGATACAATCTATTTCACAATTGGCTTCTAGTAGTGTACAAACGTACCGCCACAAAAAAGAGAGAGATGCAGAAGTCTCTCAAAAGCCGCAACCAACCAATAAGACATACATAACCACGACCTCTTTTTTTTTTTATTGCCCTTTGTAGGCAGACGAGCATACGGCCCACCTGATGGTGAGTGGTTACCGTCGCCCATGGACTTCAGCAATGCCAAGGGCAGAGCCAAGCCGCTGCCTACCGCAAAAGTGTACGAAAGAGAAGAAGTTTTGAAAATATTGCAACCACAATATCCAAAACACAAATGATGAAACAAACTAAATTTAAAATGCTTATGATGCTTTAGATTAAATAGCCTATTGCTCTGTATATAGTGAAATAAGACGGTTTCGAATTATATCTTTTAGTTGTCGAAGTAAAACGGTGTTATGCGGGGCCATCTTTAATGCCGTAAATCCTTTTGAAGAAAAGATCTTTTATTTTTTCGTTGAAACGGACTTAGACGACTTTACCGTTCGTCTTTGAGGCCTCTAAGAAAAGCCGCGAAGTGTCGTAATTATCCCTTTTCTTTACTTAGTTTCAAAAGAATTTTCCTCTCCGGATTCTCCCAGAAAACGCTACCTACATACGTGGGACGTTTTTTGGGAATAAATTATTTAACCTATTTTATGATTGCTTTCAAGCAGACTATATTCATATGATGAAAATCTAAAAAAAACTACATTGATATATTATATTGTTATTGGCTTCATTATTAACTTAAGTAGTGCAACACAACATTCATAAGTTATTGTGCGGGCTACGGCAACTAGACGCGTCATTCCACTAATATAGATTTATTAAATATGCATTTTTATAATTGATCACCATCATAGCGTGAATATGAATGAATATCTATCTATCTATCTATACGTTTCACAAAAAATCTGACGGCAAAAAATATTGAATCGTTTGAATTAATAAAACTGTAGGAAACAATTGAGCGGGTTACGGTTATTAAAAATAATTTTTAATTTTTTTTTATTGCTTAGATGGGTGGACGAGCTCACAGCCCACCTGGTGTTAAGTGGTTACTGGAGCCCATAGACATCTACGACGTAAATGCGCCACCTACCTTGAGATATAAGTTCTAAGGTCTCAAGTATAGTTATAACGGCTGCCCCATCCTTCAAACCGAAACGGATTAACTGCTTCACGGCAGAAATAGGCGGGGTGGTAGTACCTACCCGCGCGGACTCACAAGAGGTCCTACCACCAGTAATTACGCAAATTATAATTTTGCGGGTTTCATTTTTTTATTACACGATATTATTCCTTCGCCGTGGAAGTCAATCGTGAACATAATATGTTGAGTACGTATTTCATTAGAAAAATTGGTACCCGCCTGAGATTCGAACATCGGTGCATCCCTCAACACGAATGCACCGGACGTCTTATCCCTTAGGCCACGACGACTAAATATATGTCTTTTACAGTTGCTCCGGAAAACATTTTAATCTGTAAACTATTAGAGTGCGAAAACATAGTGCGCACCAAAACAATGTTAAACATATTGAGAATAAACTTAACAACGATTTGTACAGCTTACATTAAAACAGCTAGTTTAAAAAAAAAACGAAAGCTTGTAAAGAATATTTATGAATAATTATTAAAATAACATTTCTATTCAGTGACCATAGATTATTTGAAGCTGTTTATTATGAGCGTTCTATACATGTAGGGTGTCAGGTGTGAAGCATTGATGCGTGGTGGGGGGCGCGCTCTGAACTCTAAATAATGCCCTACAAATTACAAATAGTCGTGCGAATTGCAACACTCGCTAATTCAACTTAAATTAAAATCGATGTACAGCTAGTTCTCCTTAACAAATTCATCTTATATATGAGTCGTCTATTATCAAAGGCGGCAATCTGACTTTTGGACAATGATTGGTAAATCAGAAAAACGAATTATTGACTTTGTATTCCATTGGCAGTCACAAAACTCTTCGGAACGACATCTTAGATAAATAACAGGTTAACTATTAACCTTTATTTAATGCAGGTTTTGAACCGTATTCTTTGAAGGAGACGATTATATTCAAATAAATCTGTATTGACATATCAATAAAAATTTTTTGTCCAAATGTACAGATTGCCGCCTTTGATAATAGACGACTCATATATTGATATTATTGCCGTGGAAAATATGTTTTTGATTTACAAGAAAAAAGTCTAGGTCACTTACTAGGTATTACAGCAACCGTGTTTTTTGTAACTTATATTTTAGATTTAACGGAAAAAAAAGCATCCAAGATTACCATGCTCTAGGTCTTTAATTTTGTTTATTGTTTTCTTCACTGTTGAAAATATTCAAAAAACAAGAAAATACAGCAATATACCTAATTTAAATTTTATGAAATTATCGGCTGTTTGACTTGTTTTGTTCAGCGTTTAAATCCGGCACAGATTTGTTAAGCTCGGCGCGGCGGCGGGAATACCACGTTCGGTTTCCAGATTGCGTTCAGTGCAAAGTATTCCACTGTGTCGCATATTTCAGGAAACAAGGAAACCTAATTTTGAATGCAGAAGTGTGCGAACAGAATGTTATTGTGTTTTTTTTTTGTTGCTTAGATTGGTGGACGATCTCACAGCCCACTTGGTGTTAAGTGGTTACCGGAGCCCATAGACATCTACAACGTAAATGCGTCACCCACCTCGAGATATAAGTTCTAAGGTCTCAGTATATGTAGTTACAACGGCTACCCCACCCTTCGAACCGAAACGCATTACTGCTTCACGGCGGAAATTGGCGGGGTGGTGGTACCTACCCGTGCGGACTCCCAAGAGGTCCTACCACCAGTGTGTTACCCATTTATTTCTTAAATACTGTTTTTATCATCGAAAACGTGCTCACGACTGTCATTCACCTTAAGGTATAAGCTGTAAATACCAATAGCATTCTGATACGGTTGTCCTACGCTTCAACGACGGCATCCTTTAAGGGATTTTAATAAAATTGCTCCAATCATCAAAAACATCAGGAGGTAACTATTCGGGGCAGAGTGCGGGTTGCGGGATAAATAGGGAGAATAGACTCCATAAAGAGACATGGTAATGTGAGGAGGGGGCGTCCAAAATATACTTGGATGGGCCGTGTAAAAGAGGATATGCGGGAGAAGGGTGTAAGGTCAAAAATGGCATATGATAGACCTGAATAGAACAAAAGAATATGCTGCGCCGATCCCACGTAGTGGGACAAGGGCAAGCAGAAGAAGAAAAAAAGATTCCATAAAAAGAAACCATGGTAAAGAGTGCGAACATTAGTAGCAGCTAAAAATAATTAAAACTATGTTTCAATTTAATCTCGAGTTTTTTATAATGAACAGCTACATACGACTAAGGGATTATTCGTTGACATTTCAATACTGGGCTATTTACGTAAAATAACAATTAAGTTTCAGGTATAATGCAAAGAAAAAGATGGTAAAAGTAATTTTAATTATGTCTATAACTCTCAAAAACAGATGAAATTACTACTTTCTATTTATGTCCATATTTCGCATTTTATTTATTTATATTAGGTATAATATGCTCCCTGTCTCACGACCATGAACGGATAGGTTGCCTTATGTGTTTTCCACTAATAACATTACTGATAAATTTCTTGTCCCTAAACTTATCCCAACACTATGATTTGGTTGAAATTCGTACATTTTTGTAAATTACTATACGAGTAGAATCTTAACCGTAGATGAATATTAAATAAATTTCTTAAAAATATTTGATTTACATATGACACAAAGTGATGATATGATCATATGAGATAAATTATCTTTGAATTGTTGTGTTTTGTGAGTTTGTATTATTTGTCAGTACGTGTATAATTGCACACGCTAAGTAACAATGTGTGCCGTCATCTACAATATATAAAACATAACGCATTGGCTGGCGCACCAAGAAATGTTGTTTAAAATTAAAGTAATATAAGATTGGTTAGAACGGAACGTATGAAAATAATTCGAAACGGAGCGTTAAGATGAGGGAAAACGGCAAGAAAGGAAAAGGGAATGACAGAGAAAAAGCAACATGGCGAAGACGATTGAATGAGCAAGGCGTAAAAAGGTGTCATTTAATTAGTTATTAATAAAATAAAAAAGATTTTGGAAAAGAATAATAAAAGTGCAACAGTGGAACAGTTTTATTTTATGCACCTCGATCAAATTTCTACATTACCTAATAATTTAAAATTTCAATGCGATCATTAGCAACATGTGCAATTAGCTTAGTATTTTAAAAATATATAAAGTATATAGGTATATACCTAGACATTATTAATTTTACAACAATATTAATTTAGATAAACAACAAACTACAATTTACAACATGTTCTTGTGAACTGTTGTAAACTACAATTTAGAACAACATTTTGTAAATTTTAGTAGTCAAAGGTATGCGTTTAAAAAAATAATAATGAAACGTTATAAAAACAAAATATAGACACCCATTTTCGAAAAAAAAGAATAACATTTTTTAAAGTCACCTTTTCAATAAAAATAATTAAATCAATATCTATCATCCTTTCTCATTAACGTTCTGCTTAAACTGATGTATTGATATACTTGGCTTGAAAACAAAGTTGTCCGAATACAATGCGAAGGAAGTTCTTAAGACCTTAATTAGATTATACATGAGCACCCTTTGTAGGAGCGGTAGTCGGGGTGCGAAACTAACCAAGTTTCGGGACACTGCAAAGTTACAAGACTTTAGTTTCTTCTCGTCGATCGCAAAGATCTCATTTGTGTGGTTACGTCTAACAATGACGGTATTAAACGACCCTTTGAAACAATTCACTTCATTACGAATAAGGCACAGCGCAGTTCTACTATTATACTCGTTACTAATCTGCATCTGTCGAGGTGTTTGTGGCTGTCCCGTAGAAAAATATTGATTGTATTTTATCGTTGAATTTGAAGATATGAATCGAAAATGTACAATGAAATTTTAGACACATTTGAGATCAGTTGAAAGAGGTCGATCTGAAACCTAACAGGACCTAACAGCTGATTTCGCCGGTAGTCTAAGGGGCTATTCCAGCTACGCTGGTAGGTAAGCTCAAGGCCTCAACCTGGGAGAATTTGCTAAGACTAGCTCTAACACCTGTACCCGATATATAACCTGGTACCTGAATTAATAATCATGGGCTCAAAATAATAGAAGACCGGGAGAACGAAAGAAGTAGTGTTTTGTGAGCTACAAAAGGAACATATACCTACTATTAATTTAGTTAGTCACAAATATCTCAATGCAACTGGCATCAGAAGATATGTAGGTATAATGGTAATCTGTCTTCGTATAAAAATGCAGAATATATCGTCGGCAATTCTAGTTTCTTCAAACTGTTACTACATCAAAAGGTACTACCATCCGTCCGTTCTTTTATTTTTTATTTCTGCCAATGCTGATAGCCTTGAGAGGCTATTTCAGCTTCACCCTAACGTTTTTAGGTGAGCCCACGGGGCTCAAACCTAACTCTCCGCTAACACTGACCCTAGCAAGAGCAGTGCTTCGCAGAATCTACCACCGGATCGGAAACGCGACCCACTAAGAAGATCCGGCGAGAAACTCAGTGGGCTGTGTCTATGGGTTAATTCGCTCGTCGAGCCCTTCGTCGCAAACGACGGGTTCGACGAGGACGGTGACTGGTGCTTGTGGTGCCTAAAAGCACCGTTAATGGAGGTAAAAGCACCGTTAATGGAGACCGTCCGTAGTATCTTTTCCTTCATAAGAAAAGAAGGGATACGCCGAAACACCATTATCTGAGTACTGTGATTCCGAAACGACATTAATTAGCGGTAGGGTGTATTATAGGTCCCCATGGGTAGGTATTAGGATTCTGTCTATTTCAGCGCGAAGTTACGCGTTTCATCTCGTCGAACCCGACGCTACTAGCTCCTTAACTCCTATTTTGATGTATCATTCAATATATTTCCGCAGCGAAGTAACCATACTTTTTGGCCTGAAGAGTATGTAAATGCAGCTGGTATAACGGTGTGATGGAAACTTAAGTCTTACGATAGTAACCGTTTAGTTTCAAATGGACCGTATGCTCAGCAAGCACTTAGGTTAATATGGACCTAAAAAAATTAGGTCCGTAACGAGAATGTTTTTTTGTATTGGTGTACAAAATAAATAACGTCATGAGGTTTTAAACGGCCGTCCAAACCACATACGCAAGAATGTGATCGAATAAGGTTTAAATAGTGAGCTCTCGGCCATACATGCATAGGCCCATAAATACCCATTTAAACTAATAAAATTAGATAGAAGTCATAAGCATTTTGTGATGCCGATCAAACCAACGTATCAAGCTTCCGCTTTCGGGTTTGGTACCACCAATACCATCTTGCAGGTAAGTTAACTCCCTCTATCCAATTTGCTGGGATTCTTTTATTGTGTGTATTTGTATCTTTGACTCAAAAGGAATCATTTTGATACATAAGCTATAATATATTTTCTCTCATTGATTTATACTGTTTTCTTTCTTACAACAACATAAGTACAGAATTTTTCTGAGATTATCTCTCTCTCTGTTATTTTTGGTTCTCTCTCTTAAAGTTGGTCTTGAGAAAAGAAAATCTTTGGTTTGAAAATCTTGAAAATCTTGGAAAATCTTGAGTTTTTTTTTAGGAAGTAAGAATTGTTGGTGGTCCGCAGGCCTTTCCAGTTTCACCAGGATAGGTGGACGAGCAAAGGTTCAGCCAGTAGGGATGTGATTTGCTAAAAGTTGCTCGAGTGCCTCCAAAGGAAATCTAATAACTCAAGTGCAGCTGCTTCGCGAATGAATCTACCATCGGATTGGAATCGCGACCCGCTGAGAAGATCCGGCGACAAACTCAGCGGGCTGATGCATGGGTCTGTTTTATTTTCTTTGTGCGATCAGTTTAAGCGCTGTGATGTGATCAGTCAGATATGGGAAAGCTTCAACACTGTCCTCTGTAAATACATTGCGTAGGTTTCATTCCAGTATTAATACAACGAAATGTGAAATATTTTGAGACTAACAATAAGCTGAAAAGTAGTATAATAATATGGTTAGTTATACATAGTTTGTTACGCAAAACGATGATACATGCTAATGTTTTAATAAATATGTCATGAACATGGAAGAAGCGGCAACAGATTATTTCAGTCGGAGTGTGCTATTTTTTCATTTATTGGTTAGATAGGTGTACGAGCCCACAGCCCACTTGGTGTTAAGCGGTTACTGGAGCCCATAGAGATCTACAACGTAAATGCGCCACCCACCTTGAGATATAAGTTCTAAGGTCTCAAGTATAGTTACAACGATTGCCCCACCCTTCAAACCGAAACGCATTACTGTTTCATGGCAGAAATAAACAGGGTGGTGGTACCTACTCGTGCGGACTCACAAGAGGTCCTACCACCAGGAATAAAATTAAAATATAATGTAAAATATAAAAAAAATATACCGGGTAAAATATTAATTTCGTAAAATAATACGAATTAATCTCTACGTAGCCATGAAATTACGTAACAATTAGGTACATGTTGCCATAGCCGCCGGATATGAAAAAATAAAAGAGTTTTACAAAAACAAAACCAGCTGACCTGTTCCCATTCTCCGAACTGTCAGGGCTGACGCCCGGTGTTTCTCCCAAAACGTAGACAGCGCGTTACTTACAACAACACCTTTTAAATCTTAAATTTCATCACAATCAATTAATCAAATATGCTCGAAACAATTCGAACACATTCCTCACACATTGCAATAGTTCAAAAATATATTGTCCCAAGCGTACACTTTATTTCGGCAAAACCCAAGTGACCACATACACGAAACTTTCGTTGACTTTTATAGGTGACTTCACCACACAGACGCGGCTTTCGACAGACTGCTCCGATAATTGTGATCTTTGGAGCTGCGGAGATCGCGAGTCACATCATCCCCTGATTACATCGAGACCCACCCCTAGAGCGAGACGGCAATACTCGTTGATAAGCTGTGCGAGTGAGTTCGCTGTGATCCCATCTTGTGTCCCAGTCCACAGGCTACATTGTCAGGGTATCGGTGGCTGACCGAATTACGTACAAACATAACGGACGATTTACTTTGTAAAGCGATCTTAACGTAACACTGAGCATTATAAATTTAACAATTAACTTTATTTTTCAGTGAGCTATAATATCATTCGTCATTTTATGAGTATAAAATACAGGTAATTAAATATATGAAAATTAAAATTTTTAACTTACAAAAACCAATATTCGTTTGAAATCAATGACATAAATATCTTGTAATACGGCTTCGTCGCAGACTCAGAGTCGCCTTACATTTTAATAGAGTTAAAGAAATCGTATTACTATCAGTACTGTAAATATTAAAATGTCAAGTTAGACGAGGGGGAGAGGGCGCCTAATTGTCTGGGCGGTAGTTAGAACCAATCAGATGGCTGGCTGAGCGAAGGGGCGGCGCGTTACCTCGAATCGAGAGCTACAAAGCGAACTCTGTAGCGGCTACGAATCTCGTAGACATTAGGATTGAGTCCGTTCTACGACACCTCAAGCTTCGAAATGTAGTAGAAGCTTTACGATGCAATTTAGTACATATTAGTATTTCACTGTCAATTATTAAATTTAGTAGAATTAGTAGTAAATTTAGTAGTATTGGAATGGAAACATAAAACGTCAGAGCTTCAAGATTTTAAAAACTTAATCATACTTATTTTACATATTATATACGAACTTTACTAAACATGATACTTTAACGAGGTAATCATGCAGAATATTTAAATTTTATTTTGAATGTTCGCTGAGACTAGACAACACACAACTTCGCATTTTAAAAACGGTTTTTAAAGCTAAAGTATAAGCCCAAGTACCTATATGATGATATATCTTTGCAAGGTATTTCCAAAATGGTACATACTTTCTGGAGATTGGAGTGCATAAGCATCCAGCAGAAAAATCTGTGAAAGATATCATAAAAACCCGATATTAGTGAAATCATCAGTTAAAATTATTACAGATACTTGTCTGTAATGATTTCAACTTATCAAAGATAACAGATTAAAATTGTATTTCGTTGTAATAAGTATAATTTTAATATAGATTATCTGTGCTAGTTTTGTTTCTGCTATAAAAGTAACATATGACCTAAAGGTCTTAGTAGCCAGGTCATAAAATCCCTTAAAATACCTAATCCTATAAACGTTGACATCTGAGCTTTTGTAGTGGGACATGTAATTTTAAGATGGTATGAGAACTTGATCGGTTAATCGACTGTAATTGAATTATTTATTAAGAAAGTTCATAATTTAATTTAATTAGTCTAATTAGTAAGTGAGTAAAATATTAGTTTACACAACGATCTTTGAACGTTGCTTTACCATTATTATTTTTACAATAAACCTACAACGATTATGAGGATGTATGTAGTGTGTTAGTTTAGCGCATTGCGTCCTAATCCCGGTCAGGACAAGTGGCGGCGACCCCACACTTAACACCCCTGACGCGTGACTAGCACGAGGCGATCGCACGTCTCACCATTAAAATTGTAACAACACATCCAATTATCATCATTTGAATTCAATTGTATTTTTAATAGATTAGGAATGTTTGACTGCGATTTAAGCATTGTTTAAAAACTATATATATGTATTTTTATTGCTTGGATGGGTGGACGAGCTCACAGCCCACCTGGTGTTAAGTGGTTACTCCAATCCCATAGGCATCTACAACGTAAATGCGCCACCCACCTTGAGATCTAAGTTCTAAGGTCTCGGTATAGTTACAACGGCTGCCCTACTCTTCAAACCGAAACGCATTACTGCTTCACGGCAGAAATAGGCAGGGTGGCGGTACCTACCCGCGCGGACTCACAAGAGGTTTCACCACCAGTACCACCGATCTTTTTTTTTTTTTTTTAATGTGCATATATGTACAGGAAAGCGCATGGTATGTACAATTCAATTCAACAAAATTTGAACTATAAGGACACTGAAATTTTATTAATAAAACTTCTAATATTTTTGATCACACCTACACACACACACCCTCTTACACTCAATCATGCTCATACTGATTACACAAAGAGGGTACATTAATACATTCATTTTAATATCATACTTTTGTTAATTGTAGTATTTTAGGCTCACATATTGTCACTTTTGGGCAATTCATGAATTTCTGCTTAATTTTTGTCTAGTAATTTTGTATTTTGTGTAAATATCTGAAGTAATATTGTTGTATTCTTTGTACGAGGAGCACGGCTGCTTGAGGTACAAGTTCTAGCACCTAGTTCAAGCACAGGTGCAAATTATGATTGTGTTTCTACTTCTATGCTAACAATAAATAAAAATATATAAATTCATTTTAAACGGTTATTGGAACTGATGTGCATGAATATTTAATAAAATCTTTGTCGGCACGATCCGTCTCACTACAAACTGACAGTCGTCGTGGTCTAAAAGATAAGACGCCCGGTGAAATCGTATTGAACGATGCGACTGTTCCGGTGTTCGAATTCAGGACCAGTTTTTGTAACGAAATACATGCTTTTGGGGATAACTAATGAAAGGGATGATCTTCTACCGAACGGGAAGTTGCTCGGTACATCGACGGCCTAGATGCTATTGTCGGAACTTTTTGTATTAGGTATATTTCCAAATATATCTTA